CCAAAACATTTTCACCATCCAAATAAAGATATTCAACTCCCCTTCGCAGCTACTTCTCATTCTCCAGCCCCATTACAGGGCAGCCACTCATTGATTTTCTATGTCTGTGATTTTACTACCCTGGACATCTCGTATAAGTGGAATGAAACAATATTTGGCCTTCTATGTCTGGCCTTCTTCTTAGAAAGAAAGAATAATGAATAAGAAAAGATAAGAAATAAAGATAAGAAAGATATCTACATATCAATTAATGTACAGTTCTATCAAGATAATTAAAGATAAGAAAGTAAGAATATACTAAGACAACATTTAGAATACTGTTCTCAAGGCTCCTTTGTGTTGTACATAAATAAGCATGTCATTTACCTTTATGCTTGAATGATATTCTATTGTATGATGTGCCTGAATATGCGCCTGTACCAAGTAAGCAGATGTATGGCCAAATAAGCTGCTCCATGGTCCTTCTCTCTCTGAATGGTAAGGATCTCCATCTTCGTTCAGACCATTCCACAAAAACTATAGGCATGTTCAGACCCTTTTCATTTTTAGTTTTCATATTTCATTTAATCATATTTCTTATTTGATGAGTTTTACTAGCCATCTGTAGTAAAGCTATTGGACTTCAATTTCTAACTAGTTATGTTTTTAAATTGTTTTTACTGTTTTTTTCTTTTTAAACATTGGGAAATAAGTGCCTTTTCTGAAAATTTGCTCTGTCTCCTATTTTATTTCACAAAGGTATGCATTTCTATTAAAAATGCTTTGGAAAATTTCTTATTGATATTCAGGGTGCAAAGGGACTATAATACATGTGTCACAAAACAAAAAAAAAAACAATCACATCATTTAGAAAACATATTTTCCCCCACTGTTCTAAAAGATTTTAGCTAAGTAATATATAAGAATATATATGCCTCTAACATTCTACTGCATTATGATGGTTTCAGGTTCAAACATTTTCTGCATATTTTCAAAAAGTATATAGGGAGTCATACAATAGGTCTATATTGGCCATTGCAATATATGTAAAGAGTAGTGCATAGACTTCAGAATCTGTGGTCCTCACCTCCACCTGCTTCATGTACTGTCTGAAAAGTAGTAATCTTGATTTTCCAGACAATATTTCATTTAATCGTGGGTTTGCCTGTTACTTCAGTGGGCTATTGGCACTCTGATAAGTATGGGTTTTGTGTTTTATTTTTCTGACGCAGATGCTCAGCTACAGATGATTTCAATCTGCTCATGTGAATCACTGAGTGCCCCATGGCGAAGGCATGCACACACTCTGATCCAGGCTGAGCTGGTTTACTTGTTATCTGCTCACAATTCTATACCGTTGCTTTTTCTGAAAGTGGAAGTTGCTCAGTTGCGTCCCACTCGGCGACCACAAGAACTGTAAGCCTGCCAGTCTGCTCTGTCCATGGAATTCTCCAGGCCAGAATATTGGAGTGGGTTGCCATTCCCTTCTCCAGGGGATCTTCCAGACCCGGGGATTGAAATCAGGTCTCCTGCTTTGCAGGCAGATTCTTTACACTCTGAGCCACCAGGGAAGCCTTTTCTAGGATGATGAGAATTTTATGGCAGTTTAATAAGAGGGTGAAGTCAGAAAGCCTTTTCATTCAAAAGGGAGAGGACTAATGAATAGTGCCTAACCCAATGATGCAGGAAAAAACCAGTGTGACTTCAAGTATGATCATCTGGTAATCCAGGGTTTTTAGCCACTCTCTTTTGTTCCTTTCAGTGAATCAAAGTTTATTTCTTTCTCTTCTTGATACTGAAGCTTAAAAACACAATTGTGAAGTACAAACCTTTCTTTCAACCAAGTCAATAACTCTCATGTGGAAATTGATATAAATATTAGACACTAAAATTTTTTAAAATGCACACCATCCTTTCATAACAATTCTGAACATAACTGGGCTAATTTGGTGAGATCTGGTTTGGATATGGGATAGATTTGGGCCCCAAAGTTTACATAGAAGAAGCTCAGAAAATGATTGGTAACTGAGGCTCTGAGGTGAATGTTCCCAGGTCAGCCCCAACCATGGGACTAAACAAGAAGTGCTTCTCTGACTAAAATTAGACTACAAAAATATTTTTTTTACTTCTCTGTCAGCATGTCTTGGCTGATTATTTTGAACATTTCAAGATGCTTGTTTTACCTTTATTGTCTCATTATTTTTGTAAATAAGTATCACTGATTTGTTTTGTGCTGTCTTGAAGCACTGTCCTCTTAGGAAGTTTTAGAAGGAGGTTCATTTTGGTTCTCAGTCCTAAAGTGAAACCAAAGTTTGAGAATTTTTTTAGATGCAGAACCAGCTATTAGAGATAAAATTTACATGCTCTGAATGATAGTGTGCCTTCTTTTTCATTCCTGTCTCCAGTGAACCGGAAAGCTCACCAGGGATTGGTGAAAACCAACCCCCAGGTGCATCCTATAGTATAAAGCATTCACCCTTCACTATCTGAAATGTCAGAAGATTTTCTGCTTTATAGTTTCTATTTGTATTACCACAGACGATCCCTGGTAAGTCTTTGGGTTTGGGATTCTGCACTGAGTGTGGGAAATTGGAGGACTGGCTTCAAAAAGGATGTATATGTAATACAATCCAATATAATTCCAGGATGTAAAAAGAAAAAAAAAAAGCATAATACGATCTTACAGTAGCTGAGTGTTTAGTCACCAGAGAGATGTGTCTCATGATTTTCACGACATTTCTGAATCACTTAAGCCACACTTGGTAACAAATTTTAAGATGAGGTTGAGAAAAGAAGGATATTTAGAGATTGGTATCTGTGATGATAGATTAATGGAAAACTTCTTTGTTAAAAGGTCAGGAAATTATACATGTTTACTTCCCTGATAGCTCAGTTGGTAAAGAATCTCCCTGCAGTGCAGAAGATCCCGGTTCAATTCTTGGATTGGGAAGATCCAATGGAGAAAGGATAGGTTACCCACTCCAGTATTCATGGGTGTCCCTTGTGGCTTAACTGGTTAAGAATCCACCTGCAATACGGGAGACCTGGGTTCGATCCCTTGGTTGGAATGATCCCCTAGAGAAGGGAAAGGCTACCCACTCCAGTATTCTGGCGTGGAGAATTCCATGATCTGTATAGTCCATGGGGTCACAAAGAATCGGACATGACTGAGCGACTTTCACTTTCACATTCACACCAGAAAAAATGGAGGGAAAACCTGCCCTTTAAGTAATTCAGTAGAAACACTTATTCAGATAAAGTGTTCATTAAATATCACAAGTTATTTGTGAGAAGATAAGTGTCCATTGATTAATAACTGGCATTTATTGACAGATCAATACATTTTATGTTTCTTTCCAACTCTTTCGATGGATTTTGTCAATAATAATCAAAGTCACATGTTAATTAGTTTCTATCTATGAACATTGTTTTAGAAGTAAAGAATTGATACAATTCAAAGTTTTATAACTGGGTGCAGAGAAGGCAAACCTAAGTAGTAGCATCCAGATTTTAAACTCTCTTGGCTGACTGCAGACCCTGGGCAATTAACTGCCATGAACCATGGCTAATATATATCATTGGATTGCGGATTTAGGACTTTAAGAAGAAATTAAGAAGGAAGCCGTTTAAGCCTCATTATAAAGAATATCTATTTGACTTTTGGAGCTGTCCTGAAATGTGGCATGCTATCTCAGAAACAAACAGTCCTCTACATTCATGAGGACTTGAGGCAGAGATTGGTAGGTGAATGTCAGAGAGTTCATAGAGGAAAGATTCCTGAGATTGCAGAAAGTGTGGAGATAGAACCCTGAATTCCTTAAATCTTTTAGATCTTTAAATTCAGCTAATTAAAATTGGAATTGTAACACTAATAATTCATGGTTTATGCTGTAAAGGTGATCCATGTATATTTACCCTGGCGTAGGAATTTCAAGAGCTTAAGATACCTTTCCTCAGTCTTCCAAATCTACTTACATGTGTATACAGAGTTCCTTTCAGCTTTTCTTTTGTCATTCATAGCTGAAATTCTCAAGGAAAAAGCTCCTTCAGCCTCATCTCTCCTTAATTTCTGCTACATAAAGTCAATGAGTCTCCCAGATTTTTTATTCCTTGTTATTCTTTTGCTATACCATAATACTTCATAATGCAATGTGTGGACTATCACAAGATTCATTCTGACTGGGTCTCTTTACACTTAGCTGCCATGTCTTACAAGCCATTCATCAAACTGCTGACAGAGTGAATTCTTTACCTTCAAAAAAAGTGTCCTTCCACCAAAAATATAAAACCATTTGGTTTCAAACATTTGATATTATTTCCTTTTATTAGCCATCATTTCTGCTTATGGCATGTTTTGTATGTGAAAAATATTTATGTAGAGAAAATGTCACCGTATCTCACATGCTCTTGTGATTTTTGTACAAACCATTTTCTCTTACTCTGCCTGTCTCAGTCTCTTTTATCTGGTAATTTCTACTGAAAAATTATTCCCCTTCATAGGCAATTTATTCTGCCCATTTTGATTAAAAGTACATAATCATTCATTCTTATTAATTGAAAAGTACTTTTTCTGTATAACTGTATAATAATGTTTAGCAACCAGGGTGATGTGTTTTTCCCTACACATCTATGGGCTATTTGGTGATATCCGAATACCTTTTAGTGCCAAGATGAGAGAGAGCTACTGACATCTAATGTGTAGGAAACAGGGATGTTGTAAACCTCTACAATGCAGAGAATTACCCCAAAACAAAAATTTATCTGACCTATACGGTGGTGGGCTCCCCGGTGGCTCAGTGGTAAAGACTCTGCCTGTAATGTGGGAGACCTGGGCTCAACCCCTGGGTCGGGAAGATCTGACCCACTGGAGAAGGCAATGGCAACCCACTCCAGTATTCCTCCCTGGGAAATCCTGTAGACTGAGGAGCCTAGTGCGCCATAGTCTATGAGGTCACAAGGAGTCAGACACTACTTAGCAACTAAACAACATCCCATTCTTAGGATACACTGTCCAAAGAAAACTGTCATTAGGACTCATAGAGTTAGAGTCAATGAAAAAGTTAATCTAAGAAACAAATCTAAAATTTTATTTGTGCCAAATTGAAGATTAGAATCCAGGAACAACATCTCAGAAAAATCTGTGGACTGTTCCCCCTATTAGATATGAAAGTACAGTTATATAAATTTTAGGGAATAGAAAGTTGTACTTTGAATGATGTATTATTGACAGTTTATATAATCCGGATCTCCAAGAACAACGTGGTGGGTCATTGCAAGCCCTTATAAGGTGAAGAAGCAATGTTACCTTTTAAGGAGTTGTGGTGTCAGGAGAATATTGTTCTTTCTAATGAAGCAGGTATTTCTGCCCATGGGCTAGTTTGGTCTGCTGCTTAAGACAGATAGATAAAGACCATTACAATATACTAACACATATATATGGAATTTAGAAAGATGGTAACGATAATCCTATATGCAAAACAGAAAAAGAGACTCAGATGTATAGAACAGACTTGTGGACTCTGGGAGAAGGCGAGGGTGGGATGTTTCAAGAGAACAGCATTGAAACATGTATATTATCTAGGGTGAAACAGATCACCAGCCCAGGTTGGGTGCATGAGACAAGTGCTCGGGCCTGGTGCACTGGGAAGACCCAGAGGGATCGGGTGGAGAGGGAGGTGGGAGGGGGGACCGGGATGGGGAATACATGTAAATCCATGGCTAATTCATTTCAATGTATGACAAAAACCACTGCAATGATGTAAAGTAATTAGCCTCCAACTAATAAAAATAAATGGAAAAAAAAAAAAAAGAAAACTGTCATTAGGACTCATAGAGTTAGAATCAATGAAAAAGTTAATCTAAGAAACAAATCTGAAATTTTATTTGTGCCAAATTGAAGATTATAATCCAGGAACAACATCTCAGAAAAATTTGTGGACTGTTCCCCCATTAGATATGAAAGCACAGTTATCTAAATATTAGGGCATAGAAAGTTGTACTTTGGATGATGTATTATTGACAGTTTATATAATCCAGATCTCCAAGAACAACGTGGTGGGTCATTGCAACCCCTTATAAGGTGAAGAAGGAATATTACCTTTTAAGGAGTTGTGGTGTCAGGAGAATGTCTTTCTAATGAAGCAGGTATTTCTGCCCACAGGCTAGTTTGGTCTGCTGCTTAAGACAGATAAACATTGCAATCTAGGGGGAGAGAATAGGTCAAAGGGCAGAGAAAATTATTTCATGTTTAAATTATTTGTCTTCTCCATAAAATAAGAATTTTCTTTCTCAATAGAAATATAAAATGATCATCTGGAAAGATAACTGCATTTTTCTTAAGAGATACTGTATTTCACACTGAAGGCACACTGTTCTATTTCGGTATCTGCTCATTTGTTTACTGCTCTCTTCTCTTTGCTCACCTTTCTGCAATTATTCACAGTATTAACTTATCTAGAGCTATGGCTTCCATGTTTTATGGATTCTCTAGGTCAAATATTCCTTATACAGCCATGTTAAATCTCTCAAATATTCTGGATAAAGAGAGTAGCATATATTTTTGAGTCAAATCACAGAGATTGTTAACAAGTATGTGGATAGCATGATGTTCCAAGTGGGGTCCTATGCCAGATAAGTAGCATCTAACAAACATGTACTATAATGTATGTAGTAAAACTATTTAGTAAATTAAGAAGCTAACCTAAGGGTTGTCTTCTTTTAGATCCTTAGAGGAACAATCTCACTGAAATCTTTAGTGTATTTTCATACAATCCATCCTGATTTAGCTGTACTCTGAATGTATCTCCTCATATTTACTGAATTACAGCTGTAAAATCTCAGAAGACACAAATTACTTTTTTTTGTTTTACCTAGATCAATATCCCATATAACTTAGAACAAAGTACATTTACTTATGGGCTTCCCTGGTGGTTCACTGGCAAACAATCTGTCTCTCAGTGCAGGAGATGAGGGTTCGATTCCTGGATTGGAAGATTTCCTGAAGGAAGAAATGGCAATCCATTCCAGTGCAACTTCCCTGGGAAATCCCATGGACAGAAGGGGGCTACAGTTCATGGGGTCGCAAAAGAGTCTGACATGACTTAGCGACTGAACAACAACAAATATTTATTTATAAATTAACAAGTCTTAGCTTTTCATTAACAAAATAAGGTAATGCTAATATAATCATCAGAGGAAAATTAAAAAAAATAAAAATTTACAAACTTAGATAAATAACATAATACATATTTAACAATGGTTGACATTACTTTTTGAGTTTCAAGCACTCAGCACAATGTAAGTACTTCATAGTTATATGATAAATACATTGATATTTGTTCTACAGTTGGTGCAAGTAGTTCTTTGATTATAGTGGATGCTTAATTAATATATATTTAATAAAATCATTAGGAAATAAACTTCTCAAATGTCAATTTCTGATTTGAAATATATCTGTTTGGTATATTGTGTATTTGCTCCAAGAAGATTTTCTAAAGATGAGTGTCTAAAAGGAAAGCCTTGTTCATAGGGGAATACATTTTGAGAAAAATAAGCAACAAATGCTCTTGCAATTGACCTCATGTAGGATAGATATATCTTTTTGTCTGTGAGCGAATCTTAGCTTCTCAGGGGAGACAACTTGAAGGATGATGGAGAGAATATGAACAGAGATTTTCCTTATTCTGAATCTGTTGTTTTAGGATTTTCTCATAGTCTTTGTTTTATATTTGCTTTAATGGTTCCAAAAAGGAGCTTTATAATTAGTCAAAAAATATTTACTAATTAGTAAATTAACATTTTGCTTTACCTGGGGTTAAGCACACCACACATCAGTGTATATGTATTCACAGAAGAAATAGTAGGGAATTGGCAGCCTGAGAAAACCCCAAAGAGTTTGCAAAATAATAAGACAAAGTCACTGATAGGAGGTCCTGAAAGCAAATAGTGGTATGAATGAACTAACTAGTGAAGGGCAGAGACAAAGAAGGAGATGAATCTGGTCCTATGAAATACAATTGTGTAAAAGAAAAATGTCAACTGTAGAAATTGTATTTTGAGTGGCTATTAGATGCATAAGTCTATAAGTAAAGGAAACATTACATTTAATACAAGTTCTTATGTTATTGCAAATAATTAAGAAAAAAAAAAAAGCTTTTCACCCTAATGGATATTGGTAAAGAGAGGGAGGAACAGAAGACTTAGGTTGATACTTGAAATTGAATACAAGTGATGTACACATAACAGGGCATAGTGAGAAAAAATCCTAAAGAAACTGTTAAGGATAAGCGGATAACACCCATGAATTTAAAAGTAATGGATTTATTTTCTGAGAGCTTAAGTAGAGGAAGGTAAAGATGTTTGACTCATTTTTGGGAAAACACTGAAGGTTTGAATAATTAGTTGAAAGCACTCTGAGCCAGTGTATTTCAAAGGGATCTGGTCTAGAAGAAACCAATTTAAGAGAAAAAAAAATAACAAGTTGCAAAACTGAAAAATATTCTAATCAAACTTGATTTCTGATTACGATCAAACAGAATGACTTAACACTACTATAGATCCTTTTTGCCACAGTAGGTACAGTCTAGTCTTCAAATTCATTACTTTGAATTAAATGAATTTTTCCCTCAATGTCAATTGGTAAGTGACCAAGAAAGAAATAAAGCACTGATGATGATTAGCAAGCACAAAAGCACAAGCTAAGGGGAATCTCTTTCAGTAGTCATGGACCAGAAAGAAGTTGTACAGTCCACTTAATTTTTCTCACTGAAAAAAAAATAATAAAGTCATGCAGAAACATAAAATCTGATGATTGGTTACTTAAAGACATTGAGAAAAGAGATGGAAAATTAGAGAGTAGTCATTGGGCAGAGAAAGTAAGATGGTATCCCCCTAATCTCACTAAAGTATATTTTGCCAAAATAATTCACTCTAATTTTTAATTTTTCAATCTTAACAGGAATTAAAAGATGACATAGAAGGAGTCCTTCTTGATTCCACTACTCAGATCACCATGCTCAGACCCAATAGCTCAGTCTTCATGCCCTCTGTACTAACGCTCATCGGGATTCCTGGCCTGCAGTCCGTGCAGTGTTGGATTGGGATTCCATTCTGTTTCATGTACCTTATGGCAATGATTGGGAATACTCTAATTTTAGTGATAATCAAATATGAAAACAGCCTTCATAGTCCAATGTACATTTTTCTGGCCATGTTGGGGGCCACAGACATTGCACTTAGCACGTGTATTCTCCCCAAAATGTTAGGCATCTTTTGGTTTCATTTGACAGAGATTTCCTTTGATGTCTGTCTTCTACAAATGTGGCTTATTCACTCATTCCAGGCAACGGAATCAGGTGTTTTACTGGCCATGGCCCTAGATCGCTATGTGGCCATCTGTAACCCCTTGAGACATGGCAGTATCTTCTCCCAAAATCTCTTGATTTATATTGGAATTGGTGTGATACTCAGGGCTGTCGTTCTTGTAGCACCATGCATAGTGCTTATCAAATATCGTCTTAAATTCTACCGAACCACAATCATCTCCCACTCTTACTGTGAGCACATGGCCATTGTGAAGCTGGCTACTGAAGATATACGGATCAACAAGATATTAGGTCTGTTTGTTGCCTTCACTATCTTAGGATTTGACATCAGCTTTATCACTTTGTCCTATGTTCAGATCTTTGTCACTGTCTTTCAGCTACCCCATAAGGAAGCCAGACTGAAAGCCTTTAATACATGCATCGCTCATATCTGTGTCTTCCTGCAGTTCTACCTCCTTGGCTTCTTCTCTTTCTTCACTCACAGGTTTGGCTCTCACATACCCCCATATGTTCATATCCTTTTATCCAGCCTTTACCTGTTAGTTCCACCTTTTCTCAACCCAATCGTCTATGGAGTGAAGACCAAACAAATTCGTGACCATGTCCTGAAAATGATCTTCTCCAAAAGACATCCTGATCATTAGTGGCTCCTTCTGTAGACATTTTAGGTTAGTTTAAAGTAGTAACTTTAATATGGTGAGAAGTTGCATCATGAACAAATATCTACAACTGAAAACAATCTTTAAAGCTCAAATGCTGATAATTTAACAAATCCTCAAATACTTAAAAACTTGGGTTTGCTATTCACGTAAAGAATAAGCTCTCCTATGCAGACATTTCAAGTTGTTTCTGTTACTCTTGTTTGCTCCTGTTTATTTAAGCCTAGAATTTCCCTTCTAGCAACACATATTGACAGCAAATTGCAGAAAACAGCACTTCATTTCCAGTAATTTTCAAGCACCATGAAATATATCAATATTTTCAGGTTGCTAAACCAATTCAAAGCTGAAATTCTAGTTATGTTTCACTTTCTAATATTTGTTTATGAATCAATATTTTGACTTTTTATAATTACTTATCTATTTTTGTCTACTTTCTCTGAATAACTGATGGATATATAAACTATGTAAGATTAGTAATATCAGTATCAGAAATATAAAATCTGTATGATGCTAACCAAAGTCTATAAACACTGAGGAGTTTTCACAAGAAAGCATGCATTAAAAAATACTAATAGAAATTTTCAGCATATTCAAAAATATACATTTTTTAGCCAAAAAATCCAATCAGTATCTAAATAGAAAACATCCTTCCAGAGAGAAATATTTTAATGATTTTACCCAATTTGAGATTTGCTTGAAATTAGCGCTTTAGTTCTAACATTGAACACATATACAAATACATTTTCACTGCATTTAGAAATTTTGTGCTGCAAGTATCTTGAGTAGAAGAACTGTGTCTAATTGGTGGTTTTATCAACAGTAAGGTAATGCTTGGCTTCTTCAAACTTCAGAAAAATGGCGTTGAATAATGAACAACTAAGACATTTTCTTACTGCTGATCAATGGCATTTAAAGCCTACAAATAAAGAGACTTTAGGGTAATAAAAAACTTTTAAGAAAAACACAGTAAACAAAGAGAGATATCTGAATATGTAGTTGTAAACTAATGCATAGTCAAAGAAAGAAATAACCCAACATTTCACTACACAAAAAAGAAAAAGAAAGAGAAAGGAATCATGACATTTAAGAGGCAGAAGCAGATAATTATTTTGGAAGAAATAATTTTGTTGAATAAAGCAGAATGAACTTGTGTCATGATGTACTTTTGCAACTGACCTCAGGTAGATTAGATACTGAGCAGCATGTGGAATCGTTAGAATATTTGCTCTTGACCAAGGATTGAACCCTTGCCCCCTGCATTAAAAGGGCGGAGTCTTAACCGCTGGACTGCCAGGGAAGTCCTGGGCTAAGTTTTTAATAAAATTTTTACAAACCTGAGGTATATGAAGAAAGGAAAAATATACTGAGGGAATTAATAAAGCAATATGTTAGTGAATCTCAGATGTGCAAAAATTTCTTTAATGAGGTAACAAAAACTTAATTACTTTTAAATCTGTTACAGCATTAAATGTTTCAAAAAGCTGTGGCAACCATAGCGCATAATGAATAACTGAGGAAGACATCCACCTCTCAAAGGAAGTAAACTAGCAAATATATGAATTCTCTCCAAGAGGTTATAGCATGCAATGTGCACAGAATGAAGATAAAAAGTTGTGATATCCCTGAATATTAAACCAAGGCAAATGGAATGTGATGACAATAACCAATTAATTATGCAGGAATTGGGAGAACCATATTCCAAAATATAAAGTGCAAAAATATGCCAAGGTGCATAAATTATACTAGAAATAGCACATACATTTGAAAAGCTCAATAAGAAAAATCAACCTGGTTGTATCAACAACAACAGCAAAAAAACAAACACATTCCAGATGCATCAGAATGCCTGGCTTCATTTATCTTCTGGAGTATGAGAAAGGACAAACAACATAAACCATAAAAGTACATCATCATACAGAAAAAGTAATTTTCAAATGAGGTATGTAGGGTATGATATGTTGACAGTCAAGTTTTTTAAGCCTATAATTAGCGAAGGAGATCAATAACAAGGTGTAATAATCAAGCAACTATTTTTTGTCTCTAAAAAAGAAGATTAGAAATAGGTCAATTAGTAAGAGTTGACAGTTCCAGAGAAAAAACAAGCAAAGTAATTAACTTAACTTTCATAAGAATAAATAGTTAGAATTTAAACATTGATTCAGGTGATTAGAAGAAAGTAATATAACCACTAGTGCAGGTATATTTTCTTTGATTTTTGAAATATAATTCTCATACAGAAAAGTGAAAATAACCAATTTTTGTAAAGTTCATGGAAGTACCTTCTAGATGAAGAAATAATTTCTCATTCCTTACAAGTTTGTGTTGTGTTCCTTCACCATTACAGTCTCCCACTCTCCCTAAAGATAATCTCTATATTAATAGCAAAAGTAATTATACATTTTTCTATATATGTCTACAACTGAAGCATGCATTATTAAACCTTATAATTTAGTTTTGCTGATTTTTCAATTTAATATAATTGGAAGTACATAATATTGATTTTTTTCTGTTTTGCTTTTTGTGAATTTTTGACTAGAATATTTCTTGTACATCTATCATGCTCATGTTCCTTGCTGCATAATGTACTCTGGTATGAATATACTACAGCTTCTTTAACCATTCTCTGTTTATGGGCATTGAGAAGATCTGATTATGAAGAACACAATTTTAAACGTTCTTGTATATGTATCTTGGTGCACTTAGAGTGATGATTTCTGCACCTAAAAGTCATATTGCTAATTCATAGGGTACTGCCAATGTTAGTAAGTGGTGTAATGCATTTCTAAAATGTTGGTTCAATTATATTCACTGGAAGAATATAAGAATCTTTACTACTGGACATCTTTACTAATATTTGTTACAGCTTTTCATCATTTTAGCCATATGGTACATTTATAATAGTAGTTCTTTGTGATTTTCATTACCATTTTCAAATAAATAATCAGTTCAGTTCAGTCCAGAGAGTTCTTCAAGAAAATTAGAGATACTAAGGGGATATTTCATGCAAACATGGGCACAGTAAAGGACAGAAATGGTATGAACATAACAGAAGCATAGGATATTAAGGAGAAGTGAGAAGAATACACAGAAGAACTATACAAAAATGCTCTTCATGACCCAGAGAATCACAATGGTGTGATCACTCACCTAGAGCCAGATATCCTGGAATGTGAAGTCAAGTGGGTCTTAGGAAGTATCACTACGAACAAAGCTAGTGGAGGTGATGGAATTTCAGTTTGAGCATGAGTTGCTCACGAATTCCTTGCTTCATCCTTGCAATAAAACAGTTCCTGCTATAAATCCCAACTTTTCAGTCACCTTGTTCTCCTGTGCTTTGCTCATAGGGGTTTGACAAGAAAGTTGTTTTCACATAGGATATTAAGTAATATCGAATTCAGTGTTAAATTACTTCCTAATATTAGACCTTCTGCAGTTAACACCAAAAATTTTTTCTTTTTTTCCATCATAGGGGAATGGAATGCAAAAGTAAGAAGTCAAGAGATACCTGGAGGAACAGTCAAGTTTGGCCTTGGAATACAAAGTGAAGCAGGGCTGATCCTAACAAAGTTTTGCCAAGAGAATACACTGGTTATAGCAAACACTGTTATAGCAAACACCTTCTTCCAACAACACAAGAGACGACTCTACACATAGACATCACCAGATGGCCCATACCGAAATCAGATTAATCATATTCTCTGTAGCTAAAGATGGAGAAGCACTATACAGTCAGCAAAAACCAGACTGGGAACTGACATTCAAAAATCAGTTATCATGGCATCCAGTCCCCTCACTTTATGGCAAATAAATGAGGAAACAATGGAAACAATGACAGACTTTATTTTCTTGGGCTCCAAATCACTGCAGATGGTGACAGCAGCCATGAAATAAAAGACACCTGCTCCATGGAAGAACAGCTATGGCAAACCTAGACAGCTATTAAAAAGCAGAGACATTACTCTGCTGACAAAGGTCTGTACAGTCCAAGCTGTTTTTTGCAGTACTCATGTATGGATATGAGAGTTAGACCATAAGAAGGCTGAATGCCACATAAGAATCCACGCTTTTGAACTCTGATGTTGGATAAGACTCTTGAGTGTCTCTCGGACTACAAGGAGACCAAACCAGTCCATCCTAAAGGAAATCAGTCCTGAATATTCATCGGAAGGACTGATGCTGAAGCTGAAGCTCCAATACTTTGGCTACTGGATGCAATGAGCCGACTCATTAAACAAACAAACAAACAAAAAACAAAAACATCTGATCCTGGGAAAGATTGAGGGAAGGAGGAGAAAGGGACAACAGAGGACCAGATAGTTAGATGGCATCATCAAATCAATAGACATGAGCTTGAGCATGCCCTGGGGGATGGCGAAGGATAGGGAAACCTGATGTTGCTGCAGTTCATGGTGTTGCAAAGAGACACAATTGAGAGACTGAGCAACAAAATATATTTAAGCATGTAGAAGTTCCTGTGATCAAGGTGTTGTGGGAAAAGTCTAGATCTCCATTTCTGATAAGACCTATCTCTTTAACCTCCTATCTCTTGAGACAGGAAGTACCCAATCTGTGCACTGCTGACTTCTTTTTCCCTTCATCTTTGCAAGCCTTATTTCCTACAGAGCTTGCATGCTTGCTAAGAGGCTTCAGTCATGTCTGACTCTTTGTGACCCTGTGCACTCTAGCTTGCAGGTCTCCTCTGTCCAGAGGATTCTCCAGGCAAGAATATTGGAATAGGTTGCCATGCCCTTCTCCAGGGGATCTTCCTGACCCAGGGATCAAACCCATATTTCTTACGTCTGTCTTCTCTATTGTCAGGTGGGTTCTTTACCACCAGTGCCACCTAGGAAGCTCCTTACAGAACTTGCTAAGCAACAAAGCCCCATCTGCCCTACTATTTGCAAACACACTACTGCCTAGATCACTGATATGCATCTGGAAATCTTTAGAATGATGCTGAATGGGCAAGAGTAAATAAGTAGAGTAAATAAGAAGAGGCAGTTGTTTGCTTTATTTCCAATTGCCTTTCCTTAAAAAGCATGAGATAAAGTAGGCCAATTTGCTCAGTCATTGAATGGAGTCCTACTCTATGAGTCTTTCCAACTTGATGTTTCTTTTCTGTGTCACCTATGTGAGAATAAGAGGAGTACCAATTTCTAGTGCTCAGGGAAGCACAATTGCACTCTATGATAAAGACAACATTGTCATCTCTTGCTGGAATAGATACATCCAGTCTCCTGGAAATTGAGTGAGAAGAGTATGCCAAGAAATGTTCATTTCCTTCTGGCCCTGAACCTCCTTCTTTGTGTCATGGAGTTATAAAAAATGAATAAATAACTCTCTGAAATTGCAAAAGTTTAATGAATTTGGTCAGCAGGGAAAATGATGTTCCACGCAAGTTTTTCATAACTAAGACCAGCAAAGAGCAACATTCTCTTGAAAAGAACAACTTATTTTTACTGCTAGGACCAGCAAAGAACAACTTGTCACTTCTCTCTCCTTCTTATGGAAACTAAGTGGATAGTTAGGAATGTGTCCTAGGTTAAGTGGAGATGATATTATATCTTGAAGTACAGACACAAGTGCAAAACAATTAATGGAAATTGCATTAAAAAAAAGCCCAAATCATAAAAATAAGTGTTAATATATTTTGGTATAGTCTGACTTTGAAGTTCTAGGAATTACCATGCAAAAACTGTAATAATAAACTAGAGAGTCTGCTTTGGAAGATCAAGAGGTTAAGGGCAGTGAGCATCAGGCTATTGGAGATGCTGAGTAGACCTGTAGATGTTTTAGTTGAATGAGAGAAGATCTTAAATGATTTGAAATCTATGTATCTTCAGCTTTTGTATCTGAAGATACCCAGTTCAAAAAAGAAGACAGGGTTAGAGGGAAGACGTTAGCTCAATATAAGCTCAACTTCTTGTAAGAGTTGTACAGTAATTATGCACATAGTTGTGGAAAGTATCAACACCTACATAGTCAGCTGTCAGGAAGCTATACTGAATTCTGCAGGAAAGAGAGAGTTGATGGGATAATCTACAATACATTTCAAATTTAAATACTATGAGTAGAAATAAGGGTCGTTTAGGCTAGTGAAGCACTCAGAAAACTATCTAGAGGCAATGACTTGGTTTCTGGAGAAATGTTTTGTAAAGTTTAGAACAACCACACTTTAAAAAGGTATCAATCAGCTTGATTTAGACTTCAACAACTAATTACTGTGCAACTTTTCTACTTTAGCAACAAAAATATATATATTCATTGACCCATGTTCTTGTTATCCTTACAGCTGAACTTTATAGTTCATTACCAGTGTTTAGTTACTGGAAAGTGTCAAGTATTCCTAGCGACAACCTTTGTATTGCAATGAGATTTAATTTCAGTAATTTCTTTTCTGTTCCTGCTGACTCCCAAGACAATAACCCCTGAATGTGCTCATGTGTTTTTTAGTTATTCTCCAGAGAACATCTTGTACAATTCTCCAAGAGGACCACTCTATACTTTTTGTGTTTCAGCCTTCATAGAAGAAACATTATTCACTCAACCTTACCCCAAAACTCATCAGCATCTTCTCATTGCTCTCCTGGTGAAACATCCAAGGACTCTCTTCTCCTCCATCATGAACTTTCTAACCCTATTAATTTTACTAACTAATACTTTCAAGTGGCAGAATGTGTGGTAGAGAGACAGATCAAGGACTATAGGTACTAAAAACCTGAGAAGTGGAGATATAAGACTTGTGTCCTATGTCAGAATTTCCAAGATCATAAAAAAAAAAAAATGTGCAGTTGCCATTGTTGATCTGATGTCTGGGCACTGAAGCAAGTTCACATTTGAAAATTCTTTGCTGAGAAGGAACATCATGGTAAGGAGACATTTGTTATTCGTAGTACTGGATTGTTCTGTGGAAACAACAAGACTTGCTACAGTGAAAGGACAGCAAAGAGTCCGGAGAAAGCTGAAAGGAAAGAAAAGTGAGGTCAAAGGACTTTGATACCTTTCTGTATAATGTATTGTTCCATTTTTTCCTTTATTCTTTTTCATTCATTTCCTGATTTTAATGAAACATTAAAAAACAAAGGAGAAGATGGAGTGCGATAGGAAGAGGAGCATGACAGAAAAGCCCAATCACATGGGCCCCATCATAGGCATGGAGTCCAAATACTCAGTTTTTATGCTGTGGATGTTACAGAATATGGGGGGATAATTGTGCTAAAGTTAATACCTGTGAAATACCAGTATTTCACTAAAATGAATACCTTTCCATAGGTCTCAATATTGTCATTTTCTCATTATTGGAAAAAAATTATAAATAAGCTGATGAAGCTGTTCTCTTATTTCTGTCATTCAGTAGTTGAGTGACTGGCTGAAAATAGCATAGGTATATTAGAGTAGAGAGATTCAGAGTTTGATCAATGTTGCCCCCTCGCTAAGATGACCCCTAAACTGCCATGTCTATTGTGAATGACACTGTGTTTATGCCCTCTGTGCTGACCTTTATTGGGATCCCTGGCCTAGAAACTGTACAGTGTTGGATTGGGATTCCATTCTGTGCAATGTACATCATTGCTTTGATGGGAAATTCTCTACTTTTGATCGTCATCAAATCTGAACCCAGTCTCCATGAGCCTATGTATATCTTCCTGGCCATGTTGGGAGCCACAGACATTGCACTTAGCACCAGCATTGTCCCCAAGATGCTTGGAATTTTTTGGTTTCACTTGTCAGAGATCTATTTTGATGCTTGCCTCTTTCAGATGTGGCTCATCCACACATTTCAGGGTATTGAATCGGGAGTCCTGCTGGCCATGGCTCTGGACCGCTATGTAGCAATCTGTTATCCTTTGAGGCATGCTACCATATTCACTCAACAACTAGTCACTAACATTGGAGTTGGAGTGACATTGCGGCCAGCCATTCTTGTTATCCCATGCCTACTGCTCATAAAGTGTCGTTTGAAACTTTACAGAACCAAGTTAATATCCCACACTTACTGTGAACATATGGCCCTGGTGAAGCTTGCCACTGAAGATGTTTACATCAATAAATTCTATGGTCTCCTTGGGGCTTTTATTGTCGGTGGCCTTGACTTCATTTTGATCACCCTCTCTTATACACAGATATTTATCACTGTCTTCCATCTGCCCCAGAAAGAGGCACGGCTTAAGGCATTCAATACATGTATTCCCCACATATGTGTCTTCTTCCAGTTCTATCTCCTTGCTTTCTTCTCCTTTTTCACTCACAGGTCTGGATCTTATATCCCATCATATATACATATCACCTTGTCCAACCTTTACCTATTGGTACCACCTTTCCTCAATCCATTTGTCTATGGGGTGAAGACCAAGCACATCCGAGATAAGGTAGCAAAAATGTTCTGTTCCAAAGATCAGGCTTGACACTGATAGAACAAGTTTCTCCTTTGGATTTATTGTCTTATGTCTCAGGCATATGTGATCTGCAAAACCAGTTAGTGGCTTGAAGTATCATCTTACTTGATGATGAATACTTTAATAAACAAATGATTGTTTTAGAAAGTTCACAGGGCATTGACTTAAGTCCAAATGAATTTAGAAGAAATTGAGGGAAATAAAGCCTAAGGCTCTCAAAGACTGAATGCTTTTATATTGAAAAGTCATAAAAGATGATTTTCCTCATCACCAGGGCCAAGTTTAGCTGAAACAGACAACTGTAGAGATCCTTTTTAAATCCAAGAATGCTGTAATACTTACATGGATTCTTTCATTCTTAGAATTTCAGGATCCACCACCTTAATATAGTAAGTTTCCTCTACATTCTCCAACTATTGTAAAATCTTCTCTAGAATTTAGTTATCCCATCTAAATCTGTCCCTTGTGTATCTTCTGATCAAATATATACAGACATTCACATAAATACTTTCTTCCTGAAGCCTATTTCTATTTATATATGTTATCATATTGGCGATTCTCATCACACAGAAACTTCTGTTCCAACAAATCTAGGGTTAGGGCATACAATGCTATGCTTATCGTTTATGTTCTTAAGTATTCATTTAATGTCTTTATTTGTATAAAGAGTAACTTGAGTAATAAAGCTTTGATATTTGGGCCATTTTATAAATGTTATGAATGTGGAGGCAAGATCTAGAATTACTCGAGATAATACTATTCTAAAGTTTGCTAAGTTATTTTACTGACTGAACAACCAATAACACTTGACCTAATAAGGAGACAGGTCTAAGAAACCTGGACAGAAATTATGGAAGCTAAGATTCTTATTGTATTTGTTTCCCAAAGTATCTTTGCTTTTTTTCATAGAAAGTTAAGGGTTTTTTTGTTCCTTATTAAGATGCTCATATGCCAATGATAATATGTAATGGAGAAACTACATTTGCATGCCATTCATTAATGATAACAAGTAATCAATTGTTTGCTAAGAATATTGACTAGAAAAGACAGATTTCAACTGGGTAGGAAAAAAAATCATTGAGGAATTTTATCACATGCAGGAGTTTTGGAGTGAAATGAGCTTGGATCAAAACTTGTTCTTGCTATTTCTTATCTATGTTTGCAAAACAAATTATTGGCACAAATTAAGCTGCCTAATCTTTAATTATAAAAGAATGATACATGTCTCTTTGAAACCTAAGGATGATGGTTGTCATAGTATAATATAATGGATACCTTTATATAATGACCTTTACAAGGGGCTTGGTAACTGTTAAGGACTCGGTTTTCATGACCTTCAACTTTATCATCATCATTATTTTTCCTCATGCAAATCATCATCACTGCTCTTGTTATTGATAGAAATATTGTGCAGTACATTTCAGACAGTTTATTAGTATCCTATAAAATGCATTTTAGAACTATAAATTTGAAAATTTTTCGTGACGCAATCTAGATACTGTTGTTGACCTATGCATGTTGAGTGCAATGTTTCTGTATCTGTATCTAGTTTCAGTTCTATATTTTTACGTGCTTATAGTTAAATCTGTTAATTTTATGTGATTTTATTACTTAAAATTGTGCATTTGCTTGTTTGTATTTTTAGCTTTTGATTGAAGTGTGCTAAAAAATTTAATTATTAAATATGGCTTATTCTATTTGTCCTGTTAGAACTGTTGAATTTTTAATTTGTGTATTTTTAAACTAGAGTAGATATTCACTTCCAATTATTAAAAATACATATAGTTTTAAAGCAACTGTATCTTCTTGATTAATTCACTTTTTCATTATGAAGTATTTCTCTTTCTCTAGTAATACATCTTGACTTATCTTGACTTATAGCTTTAATTTTATTTTCTATGAATTTTTCTTCTAATTTTATAATCTTGTCTTCTCTCTGTAATTCTGCTTTCCTGAAATCTTAGGTTCAGCTTTTGAGTTCATAGTTTTGGAATATCCATTTAGTTTGTTCTTCTTATCTTTCTCTCTTTTTGATACATTTTGGTTAAATTCTCAATCTTCTCATTTTACTTATTTATTTATTATCTGTTTCTCTATTTCCTTGAACACACTGAACACAGTACTTGAAAATTATTGACTGTTAATTATGATAAAATGCAACTTTGGCTATGTTTCTATTAATTGTTCTTCTCTTTGTTTCTGAACTCATATTCCTTTTTCTTGCCAAATCTTGCTATGTCTCACTTGGAGTTTGACTTTCTATACATAAAATTGTGAATTCCTGATGAAGTTATATTTTCCTCCAGTGATATGAGGGCTCAGCTTATTAGACATGGAGTCCACGGTATTCTACAACCCCTGTGTCTAGTAGAGAGTTGATTATGTTTCACACTGGCTTATGTCCTATCTATAAAGACATGAACATCTTAAGTGAGGGTCTTACTCCAAGAGGGTTCAAATGAGAACTTAAGGATGTTGTTTTAAGCTAAAGCTGAACAAACAATGTTTTAGCCCAGAAATAAGACAGATCTGAGAATCTCCACTCCCCTTCCTTCTACTTCCTATGTACCACTGGGCATGCTGTTTTTTCTTTAAAATGGGACTCAAAATATCTGTTCCAGGGAGCTATTGCGAGAAATAAGAAAACACTCCCCAGGTATGTAGTTCACATTCTAGCCACAGACATATCATTGTAAATATCCAGGGCCAACTGTGGATACTCCTGGAATTAAGATTAGCAGAAAAGCAACTACATATTCAGAAGCAGAGGGACAGAAATGTTGCACAGCTGGGAGTCCTCAGGTTGGAACACAGCCAAAGTCTCTGGGCAGGACTATTGGAAGCTCACTAATTAGGACATCAGATTCCCTTTTACTTATTTCATCTGTTACTTTTACTGAAATGTAATTCATATACCATAAAATTTGTCACTTTAATAGGTATAATTTGGTATTTCTAGTAAATTTTAATGATTGTGCAGTCATCACTACTGTTGAATTCCAGAATATTCTCCTCCTCCCTTTAAGGTACCCATACTCATTAACAGTCAATCTAAATCATTTCCCTCCTCCACCCCAGTCTTAGGAACTGGCAATATGCTTTGTATCTTCACGTTATGTGTTTCTGTGTATTTATGTAAATGAACCATCCTATATGTGGTCTCATCTGTCTGCTTCATTTGTTTAATATAACAGTTTAAAACAATTTTTAAGTTTCATCCAGGTACCACAAATCAGTATTGCATTCCTTTCTATGACTGAGTTGTACTCCACTGTATGGATATACCATTTTATGTTTATCTATTCAAAAATCGATGTATGTTTCAAGTGTTTCTGATTTGTGGAATCATGAGCCATCATTTAAAAAGCATCATCAAAGAGTACACTTGAGGTTAACTGTCATCAGTTTAAAGCAAGTTCAGTCAGGATTCTTCATGCATTTTTATTTAGCCATTATCATTAGCAAGATTGAAGGAATAAACAAGTGGATATTTAAATTTAGTCACATACCTGATGAGAATTAATGACATCAGGGAAGAGAAAAGGAGTTGAGAAAATGGCAGGTAACTTTGGTAGGATGGGATATGGACTGTGACAGAGAAAATGGATGGTAATAAGAGGGTAAGATCAAGAGATTAGATGCATCTCATTGTGTTAAAGTATTATTGAAATCAGAGTGAGAGAGGGTGAACTGGTTACAAATAGAAGAAAATACATTAGAAATAATAATCACCAGGTGAAAAGTGAAAGCATTAGTCACTCTGACTCTGCAATTCCATGGATTGTAGCCTGCCAGGCTACCCTGTCAATGGAATTCTCCAGGCAAGAATACTGGAATGTGTTGCCATTTCCTCCTCCAGGGTATCTTCCAGATGCAGGGCTCGAACCCAGGTCTCCCACATTGCAAGCATACTCTTTACTGTCTGAGCCGGGTAGACAGTATCTACAACCTCTGAAAATAGGGGAGGAAATGCTGTGCAGGTGGTATAGAAATGTGACTCAATTATATTAATACTTCTCTCTGTAGACAGGTTTTTAGTTTTTATTCTTAATTTCCTTTATTCCAGTTCATTATATAATACTTTTGAAAAAAGCTATGTGAACATATTCCTGATGCATTACTTGGCAAACAAGTTCAAACCGAATAGACCCTCTGGTACAAATGTCACCCAATTCCTTATGTTTTTTTGCTGATAAAAAACATTGTTCCCTGAGTTCCAAGCAGATTCAAGTGGATACTAATTAGGGAAGCAAGAGAATCCAGAAATCAAGGAAAAGCAGTCTAGGAAAACAACAGAAAGGGAAAAACTAGAGATCACTCCAAGAAAACTGGAGATACCAAGGGAATATTTCAAACAAAAATGGGTACAATAAGGGATGGGAATGTCAAGGACCAAACAGAAGCAGAAGAGATTAGGAGAAGTGCAAGAATATGCAGAAGAACTATACAAAAAAAGATCTTAATGACCCAGAAAACCACCATGGTGTGGTCACTCATCTAGAGCCAGACACACTGGAGTGTTAAGTCAAGTGATCCTTCGGAAACATTACTGTGAACAAAGCTAGTGGAGGTGATGGAATTCCAGCTGAGCTATTTCAAAGCCTAAAAGATGATGCAGTTAAAGTGCTGCATTCAATATGGCAGTAAAGTTGTAAAGCTGAGCAGTGGCCACAGGATTGGAAAAGGTCAGTTTTCATTCCAATCCCAAAAAAGGGCAATGCCAAAGAATGTTCAAACTATTAGTCCAGTTGCACTTATTTCAAATGCTAGCAAGGTAATGCTCAAAATCCTTCAATCTAGGCTTCAACAGTACATGAGCTGAGAACTTCCAGACATACAAGTTGGATTTAGAAAAGGCAGAGGAACCAAAGATCAACTTGCCAACATCCATTGGATCATAGAAAAAGAAAAGGAATTCCAGAAAAAACATCTACTTCTTCTTCATTGACTACACTAAAGCCTTTGATTGTGTGGATCACAACCAACTGTGAAAAATTCTATAAGAGATG